ATAGAATAGAATAGAATAGAATAGAATAGAATAGAATAGAATAGAATTCTTTATTGGCCAAGTGTGGTTGGACACACAAGGAATTTGTTTTGGTGCAAATGCTCTCAGTATACATAAAAGAAAAGATACATAAAAAAAGGCATTAAAATACACATCCGTTAAGAGAGGACAGAATTCTTTCGAGAGCTACCATAAATTAGAAGAGTGAATATTGTTATCATTATTATGGTTGGCTGCACAGTCAGTCAGATGCGTAGACTACATCTGACTTTTTTTATCCTCCTTATTGAATCTTCCCTAAGGAATTGGAATAGGCAGATGTTGCTTGATAGGGTTAAAGGTAGGATGTAAGCTAATACTATTATTATGAAACATTTTAAAATTGTCGCTTTGAATTTTGGACTAATGTTTCGGTGTACCGAAGGGAAAAGTATTTTAAGAAAGTAGCACAAAAGTGCCATCAAGTCCCAACCACACAGAAAAAAAATAACTTTCAAACATTAATCTGCTGAAGTTTTAATTGAGTAACATAGTGGTTTAAGCTTATTCTTCTAATTGCTACACACTGCAGAACTAAAATCTGATAATGAATGGGAAATTATATGTGTATAGTTGAAGCATGCGATTTATAATTTATATTCCCTAGTCCACTATCAGATATGTATTCTGATAGTTCTGCTAAAATTGATGCTTTTAGTAAAAAAAAAGACTCAGATGATAATAGCTATTAGTATTATTTTTCTATGTTTTTCTAACCAATATTTAATTGTTTCTGATGCATTTTATAGTGCAGATGAAAGATTTGATGCAACATTTCATACAAATGTTTTGGTAAATTATTCGGGATCATGTCAGTATATACCTCCAGGTAAGAGAGTTTTTAATATAAGCATTTTAATCAATTCTTCAGGAGGGAAGGAATATCTGTGAATGCACTGTAGATTAGAATGTTTAGACAACATCTGCATTATTAGAATATTCTGTCATTGCTGCTGCACAAAAACATTCTTGCTTGTGAATAGGGGTGAATTTTACTAAGTACCCAACTATCAGGCATAACTTTTGTAAAGATGACATTTATTCCACCATCACGATTTATATTATCAGTATGCTATGCATTATGTCCTCAGGTTTCTTTTGTGGAGAAAAAACATGAAAATCCCAAGCAGTCTTAGCCATATCTTTGTTCAGTGGGATTTGTTTTCAGGTGAAAGAGCAAAAGGGTTGCTTTGAATGATCTAAACACAATTTATGCAAAATAAATACATTAAGGAGTTGCTAAAAGTAACACAGTCCCTTTGAACATCTATTTGGAGACAAGTCCTGTGGACTTCTAAAAGTTAATTTTTTAAAGGTCGAAATATTTTTTAATTAAAAGTAGCCTCTCTTCCCCTCCCTCTCTCTCCCCCCCTCTTCTTTCCTCTCTCCCTCTCTCTTTCTCTCTCTCCCTCTCTCTGTCCCTCACTTTTATTTGTTTCACTGGGTTGCAAGCTGTCAAACCTTTACATCAAATCAGGAGAACAGATACATCATGAGCAGTGATTTTGTGTTCCAGCTTTCCTCAACCATATGGTTTCATATGAGCTGGATTAGAACTGTTGCATGGATGCTGGCCAAAGTTAAGCTTTTATTCCCACCTTTCAATTACCTCTGTGATCCATTTCTCACACTGAGAGTTCCAACATGCACACACACACAGACAGTACTGTTGGCTGGCAGTCCTGGAATTCATAGAACCAAATATTACCCAGGGACGATTGTGCTTAGCTTCCAATTCCAGCTGAGGTCAGCTAGCCCTGCCACCACCTACTCGATTTGTAAAAATTTCAACCTAATGGTGACAGCAGAGAGGCAATAAAAAAAAGATCCCATCTGCCCACTGAATATGAACGATATCACAGAAGGGAAAAAAACCTGTATCTGAACTGGAAGGCTAGTTCAATGGTCTTGTGCCCATGCGAGAAATATTGTGCTGGCTTTTTAGAAACAGCCCAAAATTTAATTTCCTTCCCATCAGGAAGAAGGGTTTTCTGTCCTCTCGTGGAAGAGAAAAACTTTAAACATATCTCCAGTTTGCTGAGTCCCAGCATTTCATGGCAAAGTCAATGTAAATCTTGAATAGACTGCAGTGTTATAGAGCTCTGTTTTATGTCAAGCATTTTGGAGATATCTCATTGTTTTCTTTTCCCTTCTGCTTTTATTTTTAGTCAGTGAAAGATGGAATAATTAAATGGCAAAGAATGTGTGATAAATATTAATTGCTGGTTAGACATGAAGTATTTATGTCAGAGCAGACAGTCCTTAGGGAAAAGCAAAATTAGAGAGAACATTTTATTGCAGAAAAAGATGTTAAGGAGTTGATATAAATCCAAAGAGAAAATTTAGCTATGGTGTTACTTTTTTTTTTAATGAAAATTCAAAATTCATATCAGTCTAAAATGTGAGTGTTTGTTATTTTGTTTCAAGCATTATAAATGCAGTTTCAAACAGTTAAGGCACTCCGCTCATGGTTTATCGCTGAAGTTTGAAGTCTTCCACTGAAGTTTATTGAACAAGCATCTTGCCACATTTTTCACAGAGGACAAAACTATTCTGGGTGTTGACAGATTTATGTACTTTGAACCAAGACATGCTTCAATTATATAAAGCGTTATGTAATGCAATTTAAATGCAAATGGAGTGAAGGATATTTAATCCCATTGCCACAGTGTATCACTTACCTTTATGCAGCCAAACTCTCCTAAGCAATTTTCTTTCAGTAGATTCACCTGCAGTACTGAAGCTCAGCTAAGAGAAAACCAGTGCCATTATTGGGCACCTTGGGCATAGAAAGTAAGCAATGCTGCATTGCTAGGATGCAATGACCCCACATTACTTGGAAACTAGCAGCACTCTATTCCTTGGTAGCAATGATTCATGCATGTTAATTATCTTTAAATGAGATATTCATCTTGATTTAAAGATATAGATCAACTTTTACCATTCTGCATCCATGGGCACCATGACTTTAATGAAAAGAAGGACTAGGGGAGACATGATAGCAGTGTTCCAATATTTCAGGGGCTGCCACAAAGAAGAGGGAGTCAAGCTATTTTCCAAAGCACCTGAGGGCAGGACAAGAAGCAATGGGTGGAAACTAATCAAGGAGAGAAGCAACTTAGAACTAAGGAGAAATTTCCCGATAGTTAGAACAATTAATCAGTGGAACAACTTGCCTCCAGAAGTTGTAAATGCTCCCAATACTGAAGTTTTTAAGAAGAGATTGGATAATCATTTGTTTGAGGTGGTGTAGAGTTTCCTGCCTAAGCAGGGGGTTGGACTAGAAGACCTCCAAGGTCCCTTCCAACTCTGTTATTCTATACTATTCTATATGAGAACTCTGAGTCAAATTTTACTTCACCTGTAAAAAAATAATTATTTCTTTTAAAAAAATTATTCGAACAGAACTCTGCATTAATCCTAGCAAGCAGTTAGTTTCTTTTTTCATGATGCTTTTCATGTCAACTTGCATTTTGATGATAGTCACCAAGATGGATATTATTAGGTTTTAAGACCAATAAGTATGAATGTAGATTGATGATACTTTCTGTCTTTCTGAGTGACAAATTATTCAGAGTCAGGAAAAACAAAATCTCCCAGAGCCCAGCATTTCTCTCATGTGGCAAATAAGGTGATATCCGAAGACCAACCTGATACTTCCAGACATGGAGTATAACAGGTTACAGTAGGAATTTTTCACTCCCACCCACAGCACTTGAAAAACATTACTGGGTTACAAATCTTTGAAAATGAACCTACCAGTAAGCTAATAAATTAAACTAACAAATTTAAACGCCAAAGAGCTAAGTGCCCTGTGGGCCGTCCTCATAAAGCCTTATGAAATGGCCAGAGAATGAAAGGAACTGCATTGAGAACATTAGTTTCACAGTATGAATAACTTCCACAGCTAGCAATTTTGCTGAGGATGAAATGGATAATATACAGTCTTCACATCAATACATGCTACTACGGAGAAGAATTTGAGATCTGTGCATCAGAGGCAAAGCTGCTTTGAGCTTTATTGATACAAGATTTCCCAACCTTGACAATTTTAAGACGTGTGGACTTCAACTCCCATAAGTCCACACGTTTTTTAAGTTGCAAAAATTGGGAAACTCTGCTCTAGATATTTCTTCTGTTAACTTTTACATTTGTCACACTCTCCTCCAAAGAATGTAGCTAGGATTTAAAATTACAGATTTAATTTATTAGCAGATGAGTTTGAGACACACTTTAAAACCATCGGTCCCTTTAATGTTTGATGTAAATGTGGATAAATGTATCTAAATGCAATTTCATCCCATTTTACTCTTGTCTTCATCAATTCATTGTTGGCTTTCCTTGCAGGCATCTTGAAAAGCACATGTTACATTGATGTCCGCTGGTTTCCTTTTGATGTGCAGAAATGCAATTTGAAATTTGGTTCATGGACACACAATGGTTGGCTGCTTGATCTGCAAATGCTCGAAGCTGATGTTTCTAACTACATATCGAACGGTGAATGGGATTTAGTAGGTATGTTGAATTTCTTAAAGAAGCTTAATGAATCCAGATCAAAGATTTTCTTAAAATCCTGTTAGCGAGGGATAATTATGTATCTATTTCTGTGATGCTACTCCAGCCATGCTTCAGTGTGTTTCCGTATCAGGTGTAAGATAAATATTGCTTCACTCATACATCTGCCACTAAGTAACACCTTTCCTAGGATCCTGCACCTTCTGGTTTGAGAGAATGAAATGAAGTAGGCCAAGTTTAGGATAAAGATAAAAGACTTTTTCCAAATCAAGTCAAACTCTGGAAAATTTCTTGATTACGCCCTTGTAGTTTTCATGGAATCAGTTGGAGTTAGTTTTTCATTAAAAAAAAAAATCTTTCCAGCTTTCCTACAGCCAATATATTTTCAGACTAATACCACCCAGTCCTAATTCTGCTCATCTTAGATGAGATAAGTTACATAAATTATATCCCACTAGGTCAAGAAATCAAAGGAGCTCAAGTAGCCAATCCAACAGAGGAACATCAGATTGCCTGATTCCTTCTCAGCAAAAGGACTGACTATCCAGTTGGCTGCTTTATCTCCTATCCATCTGCCTATCCAGGACTTGGACTTTTCTTCCTTGGCAGTAACCCCCACTTCCCGAATCAAACATAATATATTAACTCTGCTTTCCAACTATAAGTCAAGGTTGTCCTTGACTTACGAACACAGTTGAGCCCAGAATATATGTTGCTAAGTAAGAAATTTGTTAAGTGAGCGTTGCCCCATTTTACGATTTTGTTTGCCCCATTTGTTAAGTGAATCACTGCAGTAGTTAAAACAGTAGTGCGGTTGTTAAGTGAATCTGGCTTCCTCATTGACTTTACTCATCAGAAGGTCGCAAAAGATGATCATATGATCCTGGGATACCTCAACCATCATAATAATGAGCTAGTTACCAAGCGTCCGAATGTAAATCACATGGGGATGGGATAATGGTCATAAGCGTGAAGAACGCTTTTTTTCAGTGATGATGTAACTTTGAATGGTTACTAAATGAACTGTTTTAAGTTGAAGACTACTCGTATGCTGTACAGTCGTTTTGGGAAACAATAATACTTCAGACATTGCTGAACTACAACTCCCAGCATGCTTAGCTCGTATGCTAGCAATGGCTCGTATGCTAGCAATTTTAGATCAGCCAATCTTAAGAGAAAGAGGTTCTCCATCCTTGCAAACTAAGTGTACTTTCCCCCACTTTTTCACAGTTTTTATTTTTAAGAAAGGAGAGAGTTGCAAAAGGGGTCCTTGCACTGACATATCTGAGGTGTCTTGTTTGACAGTGATAGTGTATCGTTCCCCTTTGATTCATCTGCCGTGGCTTTAGCTCAGACTATAATTTCAGTTTTCTGACACCCTAAGAACTGAACCCCTAAGAACTTGCATATTTTATTTGAAAACATTTCTTCTGTCAGCTTATGTAAAATATTCATAGGCTTGGAGGTGGGCCTGAGACTTCTATGCTGTTCCTACAGCTGATCGATTGTGACAGCAGTGGATGTGTGTGCCGCAAAAGTTATTTCCAGTGATAACAAAATCATGGAATTTAATCCTTCACTTATCAGAGCTGTTGCCAAGAGCCAGGATTGGATTTAAACATAGTAAAGGCCCTAAGCTATGGGCTGCATTTGGCAGGGACTACAGAGAATGCAACACAAGTAAACATGGCAAGAATGCTGCCAAGATGCATAACAATCCCAGGGTGGGATGGAGAAAGACCCCCTATGAAGAGAAAGTGTGTATACATGCTGAAAGAAGGCCTAATTTAATCAAAGTAGAAAGTGCTGTGCCAGCCACACAGGAGAGCTTAATTTATGGAGGTTTTCATATGTGACATTATAATAAAATCATGGCAAATAAAAATCTGAAATATTGGAGGCCCCCTTCAGATATTGACATCTTAAAGTTGTTGAGTTTATGGCTAAATTCAGCTCTGCCTGGAGGAAGGGATAATTTTTTTTCTTGTTATGAGTACCTGCATATTGATATATTTCTTGCTCACATTGAAAGCTGGTGTTTGGGTGATTCCCCCCCCCCCCAAAAAAAAAAAAAAAGCTGCAGAGCTTTTTGTCGTATGCATTTTTTAAAAAAAGGCTGTCTGGCAATGTCACAACGTTTTAAAATTAGGCTTCAGAACTTCTCCATATTTTCCCTTTCAGAGTTGATGTTCATATAGCACTTCTGTTTCTGTCATGGCTGTTGAACTTTTTCAGCCATGTCCTTTAGGCTTGCTTAATCCATAGTCTGGATGAAAAGTATCAAAAAAGATATGTAAAGAGGGAGGCTGAAAGAACCACTACAAACAGAAGTAGTGTTGGCTTTATACGAAGACAACAACAAAGAAAATAATTTCCATCTGCTGTCCTATAAATAGCTTGAGACCTACAACCTCAATCACTAAACATTGTAATAATGGTTGATTGCTATTTGCAATTTGATATAGAGATTGAAGAATAGTCAATTATACCTTATAGTTCTATAATGAAACTGATTGGAAAAGTAATGGCTACTGTATATGCTTAGATAAATTTTTAAGGAACATTGATTAATTCTTCACTAGATACGTTTGGGCTGTTTAATAGATTTATATGGATTTTTCAGGGTGTAGAATCATATGCCCTTAGTGTAAGATTAGTGCCATGACAAAACTAACTATTTATCCAGAGATGGTACTTGTACATTATTTCCTAGAATATTATGGTCTTCACAAGAATTACTGAAAATGAAAGGGACAGAAACATTAAATAAGCTTTGGGTCTCTGGATATTCAGGAATTCAGTTTTCAGTATTTCTCATAAATAGGCTGGTGAAGGCCATTCAGCAATTTCTAAAGGACCCCAGCTTCTCCACACTTTCTCTAAGAAGTAGTAAAAGGGTAAAATAATCGAAGTGATCTGATATGGGATACCTGGTAATCTACAGAATGAACAAAGTCACTAATGACTGGGTAGATTCTGCCGGGCTCTTCTATTCCTAAACTGGGAATTGGTTTAATACTACTGGTACAAACCACCTTCCAATTTTGAAGTCTAAATTCAAGTTTGCTGCCTCAGCTCAAAACATATTATCCATTCATCTACCATCAGGAATCTAATTTTTGTAAACCATGATTTCATACACCACTTGAACTGACTTAACACATTAGCAGAAGAGAAGAAGCTATGTCTAGTCTGATTAAAAGAAGGACTAGGGGTGACATAACAGATAACAGATCATCAGAGTTGGAACGGATCTTGTAGGTCATCTAGTCCAAGCAGGAGACCCATCAAGGGCTACTCGTTGAGTACGGTTTGCCAGCCAGTTGCGAGTCCACATGATAGCAGTGTTTCAATATCTCAAGTGCTGCCATAAAGAAGAGGGAGTCAAGCTATTCTCCAAAACACCTGAGGGCAGGACAAGAAGCAATGGGTAAAAACTAATCAAGGAGAGAAGCCACTTAGAATTAAGGATAAATTTCCTGAACAATTAATAAGTGGAACAACTTGCCTCCAGAAGTTCTTAATGCTCCAACAGTGGAAGTTTTTAAGAAGAGATTGGACAACCATTTGTCTGAAGTGGTGTAGGGTTTCCTGCCTAAGCAGGGGTTGGACTAGTAGACCTCCAAGGTCCCTTCCAACTCCGTTATTCTATTCTATTCTAAGTGTGTAGACCAGCCTTTCTGAACTTAATGTCCTCATGGTATATTAGGCTTCAACTTTCATAATTGATAACCACTAAATTCAATACATCTGAAGACATCAGATTGCATAAGTAAGGTCTAGATCCCTGACTACCCTCAATTAGCAAGAATATTGACTGTTCAGCTGTTTTGAGAATGAAATAGCATATTTCTACGTTTATTATATTTTCAACTTGCTTCTGTGCAGGTGTCCCAGGCAAAAGGAATGAGATGTACTATGACTGCTGCAAAGAGCCATATCCAGATGTGACTTACACTGTTACAATGCGCCGTCGCACTCTTTACTATGGGTTGAACTTATTGATTCCCTGCGTCCTTATATCAGGCTTAGCATTGCTTGTTTTCTTACTTCCAGCTGACTCTGGAGAGAAAATATCTTTGGGTAAGGACTAAGACAATGCACAGTTTAAATATATAGAAAAGGATGTATCAGCAAGAGTTGACAAAGGCTGTACCTCTTCAAGGATTATTTGTGTTTTTGATTATATATACAAATATCCTTCACTGTATAGATTAAGCCGAAACATAGGAGAGACCCTTTCAGCCTTACTGTCTTCTACTATGCTGATCTCCTATACATAAGGAAGCATTTACGTTAATTATGCTCACAAAATGTATATTTTGTGTATATTTGTAGATATTGTACTCTCAAATTGCAAATGGAGATGTGGGTACTCTATTTTTCTTATCTTCATTTTTAAGTGCTTTGGTTTTATTGTATTGCGAACAGTTCCTGGGGTGCATCCACAGTTTCGTTGTACTTGTACAATGACAATAAGGTTCTTCTAATTCTATTTCTAATTCTAATTCATATGTTCATCTATAAATACTACAATCTAGAATTCTACCATCTTGGTTTCAATTTTTAATGATACCGGCAGTGTGAAACTGTATATGGGGAAGGTCCACCATGAGGCTGTTTCTCCTGACAGTTGGCCCTGCTCAAAATTGGGGAAATCTGGATCCAAAAGAAGAAAGCAGATTAATTGGAGAAATCTGTTGTTACTCAAATTATATTAGAATAGTAATGTTTTAATGATGTTCAGAATACTATTTAAAAATTTTCTACAACACACATTTCTCTTAATCAAGATATATTGCCTTTCTAATAAATGGAAGGTGTGCTTCATTAATGACCTTTAAAGTGGAAAACATTCATGACTTCAGTCCTGCTTCACTTTTTGTCTCTTTCACAATTTTGTTATAGGTATAACTGTTCTTCTGTCCTTGACGGTTTTTATGCTCCTTGTAGCAGAAATAATGCCTGCCACATCAGATTCCGTTCCCTTAATAGGTATGTTGATGGTGTACCACTTCTCATGATAAAAAATGAATCAGGTTTAAAACTGCGTAAAATTTATCTGGATCAGGTTCCTGGGCAACTGATGGGAAAGGGAAGGTGAAAGAGAGGAGGTGGGAATGGCGGTGGGAAAAAAAAATATTTTAAAAATATTTTTCCCCCAGATTGGAACACAAATTTATTTGCTTTATAGAATTAGATCATGATTGTAGATAGCAACTTTTGTTGTCCTTTGGGAAAGGGAAAAACTGCTTCCAAGACATTTCCTTTCTTCTCCAAACAAATTTCTTCCTCAAAAAAAATTTGGAGGAAGAATTTTTTTTAATCTCAATTGTCAATGGACCACACTGGGAATTATAAATACAGATAAATAAAATCAAGTTCTGATGAGAATGTTAATCCATTGGGAATCTTTTCCATCCTTACAGTTGTTCTGTAGGTTAGTTCACAAAATCTTTGGCTACTCTAGTAAAAATGCAACATAAATTTACATATCAACAACAGATCAATTATTACAAGTGGAATGTTAAGTCTGCATAAAATTACTGTACAGGTAAAATGTTCATATGGTGATGACTTTTCAGTTCAGGAATGTAAATAAATGAGGCACAGGTGTGAACCAATTATAGACTATCATACTGCCAAATACCAGAAATGTAGTTATTTCATAACATGTTAGTAGAGTATGAGTAGAGTATGCTAGGTAGAGACCAAATTGCACTTTGTCCATCTCAGTTTTTAAAGAGGTCAATGTTAAAAATCATTTTTTTTTAAAAAACCACAAAATTTGCCATTCTCTCATTCAATCACTTACCCACAATCTATCTGGATTTCACCCAAGTCTTAGAGCTCTTTTCCTACTAGGAATCCAAGTAATTATATTCCTTTCCCTCCTTATTTTTTACCCAGAGAGAGTCCTTGTGCCCAGTCCAGGCACCCAAAGAATAATAACAAGCAGTGCTTGCTTTGTTTGAGAGCGTGACTCCCTATTCTCAATTCTACCCAGATGTGGTTTCCCTAATAGTGCCATCTCTTCCAAGAGTAGTGGCAAAAGTGTTTCTAGGAGCCTCACCTGTTTTACTATTCCCACAATGCAGTGTACACAGGAGCACACTTCAGCTGCCGCTCTCCTCTATCATATCCCTCTTAATTAAATATATTTATTCTCCTCCAGTCCCATCTTTTCTGTCTCCTAGCCATTCATACTTCCCCAAGCCTCTTCATTCCCCCAATCTCACTCCTCCATATTCTATTTCTTCTTATAATCATCTGTTTACTTCTTTCATCATGAATCAGCCGATCACATCATCATCTTCTCCTTCTTTACAGCTCATCACCAGCCTCTGGCACATTCCTCTAAGCCAGGGGTGTCAAACTCAAGGCCTGCAGAGGTGCTTAGATCTGACCTGTGAGACCAACCTGAAAATAGAAAAGGACTGGCCCAGAGCTGGTATTCAGCAGGTTCTGACCAGTTAGAAAGAAATTTAGAAAGAGAACCAGTAGCAGAAATTTTGAGTAGTTTGGAGAACCAGCAAATACCACCTCTAATTGGCCCCGCCCCCATCTATTCGCCGCCTCCTGAGTCCCAGCTGATTGGCTGGGTCTTCTTTTGTTGCCCTGCACAGGAGAACGGAGCTGGAAAGCAGGTTGGTGGGGTGAGGAGGGAATGGGGATTTTACATTATCCTTCCCCTGTCACGCCCACCAAGCCACACCCACAGAACTGGTAGTAAAAAAATTTGAATTTCACTGGAATCCCTGTCTGCCAGCAAAAACAGAGCTTGGGAGGGCCGCATGTGGCAGAGGGTTGCAAGAAGCCATTGCAGCTGAAAACGCAGTTGGGAGGCACGTTTTCACTGGCAGAGCACTCGAACTACCACACGCGCAGCGGGGAATCACTGATGTTGGGCTGGCCACACACATACAACCCCCCCCAAGGTCAAACGCAACTCTGATGCAGCCCTCAATGAACTCGAGTTTAACACCCCTGCTCTAAGCATCAAGGAGTGACTTCATCCACCTCTTGATCCATTCCTGTGTACAACTTCAATATTTATACCGTGTTTCCCCAACAATATGGCCTCCACCAATAGGAAGCCCCACCATGTTTGATTGGCATAAAATCAAATTAAGCCCCTCCCCCCCAAATTAAAGCTCATATTAAACATGTGAAATGGGGGGATGGCGGGGGGGGGGGCTTGCCGTTAGGAAGTACTTTTGTTGCATGCCCGGATATGGTGCTGCCTGCGTTGGTGGGGCACTTCATATCGGGAGACCTTCCGCCACCGTTGCTTTCCCTTCTCCCTTGCTGCCACAGCATTTAGAGCAACGTCGCGGCATTTGGCGCAGCCATGCGCAGCCAGCCAGGGCTCCTCCCTGCAACCGAAGCCCTACAGAGACACTTGGCTTCAGGCGCTCCTGTTGCCGCCTTCCCTTTGCCTTCGAAGGTAAAGCCAATTCTTTTAAAAATGACACCCTACTACAACAAAGCCTCCCCTGCCCAAGAGGGCAGCCCAACCCCACATGGGGAGGCGAATCTCCTGGGGCTGCAGTGCAGGATCGACCCACCCCGGGAGAAGCACCCAGCCACCATCCCTGCCTGGCGCCGGGCAGAGTGTGAAGAGCTTCGCCTGGGGTGCCCAGCACAGCTGACAGGCAGGCCCTCCTGCCCGGCAGCAGAGCTCTCACCAAGACAGCAGGCACCTCCCTGCCGGGCCCTCTGCTCATCCCACCAGGGCCACACCAGAGCCACTGGCGGGATGAGCGGAGCCCTGGCGGGATGAGCGGAGCCCTGGCGGGATGAGCGGAGCCCTGGCGGGATGAGCGGAGGACAAGTCTGAAAATGGTCTAATCTCACATCCCAAAATGTGGATTAGTCATGCAGAAGAACATCGTTTTTGAAGGTTGAGGTCCTAATGAACAAACCAGGTTTTCCAAGTTGATTTTGAGAGCTACTCTTCTTTCTTTAGGCAAAGTACGCCTAAAATGCTCACTGATGCTTCAAATACTTTTTTTGTAATGTCTGAACAATTAGAGTATATCGAATGCATTTGAAATGCGCCGTACCAAGTAGCCATCTAGGTCAAGCATACTTGGTACCTTTCATCTGTTTAGTGGATTTGATTTTCCCTGCTGAATTGCCATAAAAGAAGAATGATGGCTCTCACTACAACCCACAGGAAGACCCATGGCTCAAAAAAAGTGCCACTGGTTATGCCACTAAAGTGAATAAACTGTCCAGGAATGAGACCAGTCCAATAAACAAATGCTTCCCCTTCTATCTTCATGAACAGAAATAGAGATTTCCAACTCACACTTCTTAGTAGTCTTTACTGTAGAGGAAAACACCCTCTAAATTAATTAATTAAGCAACAAATTAATTAAGCAATGAATTAATTAAGCAATGAATTAATTAAGCAATGAGTTAGTCCAGCTTTTTCTACCTTGGAGACCAAGACAATTTGCTTTGGGTGCTAGCAGTTCGAAAGTATGCAAACATGCCGACCACATAACCATGGAAGCATCTTCAGACAATACTGATTCCCTCAGCTAGAAAATGGAGATGAGCACAACCGCCTAGAAGTCAGAAACGACTAAGCAGGGGAATTTTTTTTTCCTTTATCTTAGAGCAGGGATCTCCAAACATGGCAACTTTAAGACTTGTAGACTTCAACTCCCAGAATTCTTCAGCTGGCTATGCTTTAGAAATCTTTTTTTGTCCAGGGTTTGGAAAAATAATAATAATAATGAGAAATCTTCTGCTTTTCATGTTAGTAAGAGAGAAAGGAGATCTTTAAGTAGTTAGGAAGAGCAATTAGAAATGAGGAAAGCTGGTCTTTCCTACAAATCAGGCATTCTGAGAGACATACTAATTATATTTCTGGAACTGTGGTTTGGAGAATATTATAGTCAAACCAATGATATATCAAGGGGTCTTGGAAGAATACTACTAGTGCTGTAATAGAACTTCTGAATTTGTTCTGAGCTCTGCTGTGAGATTAGAATACCAAATGTAGAGAAGCAAATTATCCTGAGGAATTTCATGCCAACTTTTAACGTTATCCTCCATAATGTAGCAAAGTTCTGTACAGCTGCTGTGAATACGCACAAACAATTTACTAGTGCACATGCCTGATACACTCATATCCAATTCATTTAACTTATGGCTATGTAGTTTGTTGGTTTGTTTTCTGTCTTTGCTGAAATTAGTTTATATATCACTGACCAAATAAATATCATAAAGTGGATGACAATCACTGCTTTTGCCTTAAGGTTTTGGAAACTTGGCCCCTAGCAATTATGTAGATGTCAACTCCTGTATTCCCCCTCAGGACTATTTCTAAATTTTCTGTCATGCAGCATTTTTCTCTTGTTTTTCTTTGGGAAGAGGCTGCAGAATATTTGTATTGCCTTGGACATTTGTATGGCTAATTGTATTAAAATAATCAGTACCTACAGATTTGATGTTTAAATTTAAATTGCTGTCTAATATATTGATATCTAATATATCTTTATACCTCTGTATCTATCTTTCTCTCTATATATCTCTAGCTCTACTTTTACTTTTATCCCTATCTTTATCTCTATTAAATATTATGAGCTGCTGAAAGAACATTTTAAATAGCTTAATTTAAAAAGCAAACTCATGGAAAAAATTAAGCTCAACAAAATAGACATAATTAAAAGGAATAGTGTTTTAAATCTTTAGTCAAATTATTTGAACCTCCACTATATGCATATAAGTAATCAAGATATAGTGCAGGATTTGTAAAAGAAAACACTGGGTGGAAACATCTTTAAAGAAAAACAAAAGACTCCTTTGGTTAAAATAGCCTATTTTACCTAGGTCAGGAGTCTCCAACCTTGGCAACTTTAAGCCAGGCGGACTTCAACTCCCAGCTAACCAAGCTAAAGCTGGTGGACTTCAAAGCTGGCTAGGGAATTCTGGGAGTTGAAGTCTGCCAGGCTTAAAGTTGCCAAGGTTGGAGACCCCTG